TATATTATATATGTATATATGTAATATATATCGAGTTTGATAGTAATCTCTGATTGTTGATTACATAGTAGAACATTACATCCAATACAATGAATTACATTGAATTTCATTGAATTACATTGAATTATATTAAATTTAAGGACTTATTGCTCTGACGCAAGATATATTTAAGCACCTAACATATAATTGGCAATGTTAGCGCCATGTAGGATTTCGATCCAGTAACCATCAGGATCTTTAATGAAGGCGATCCCCTTCATTTTACCATCATTTGGTTTCTTCACAAATTCAACGCCATACATCTCGAATCTTTGACACGCTTTGTTAACATCAGGTACTGCTATTCCAATATGACCTATTTCAAGAGAGGAAGAAAAATGCGTGATATTTGTAAAATTATAAAAATAGTTTCCTTCTTTACATATTTTAATTTTATTTATATAACTTAAATAATAGTATTTTATTTAAATACATTAACTTTAAAAATAGTTAATGTATTTTACAATTTTCTTACCAAATCCTTTGGGATCTATATTTCCATTGTAATATTTTACATCAGGATCTGTTTCAGACCCCCAATTGCTAAAACATACATTAATTTTCTATAAAATTAAATAAAAATACATTAACTTTCATAAATTCTCACAAAGTAAAATCTTCAAAAATCATATCATATATTTTAAACTTACTGAGTTAACTCTATGACCGCTTTTCTACGGAATGTCCATTCGATACTTTCTCTACGATCAAGTGGTATTTCATTCTGGTCCTCGTATCCAAGGAAATATAAGGAGAATTGCATTTCTGGAAAATCAAGCTTTTGCAGCAAGGTCATTCCGAGAACTTCAGTATAGAAAGGTAGAGTGATTCTTGGATCTTTTATACGGAACATTGTCTGCTGCATTATATACCCATTTGTTGAAGGGTCTGGAGTTTTACAAAGTTTGCGAACCTCACTGCTGCTCAAACCCAACGGCTCACCCATCTGTAATTCAAGAGACATATCATTATTCTTCCATAGTAATTTCGATTAAAACAATTAACTTAAACGATAATGAATTTTTTTTATAAACTAACGAAATTATTTTATAGTAAAATTTTTAATTATATAATTTATCATTATATAATTTATCTCTAATCTCTAATTTCTTTTTGTGTATTAAGCAACAGAAATTATAATTTTATCCATATTAATGAAATATTGAAAGTATTACTGGATGCAAGTTAATAATTAATTAAGTTAATTGAAACTTAAATCACTTTGCTATATCTTTTTAATTTAATTTAATGTACCATTTG